ATACATTATGCTAATTTTCATCTTTGTAAGCGCATAAGACTGTGCAAATTATTTCTGTGACAGTCTTTTGAAGTGTGTAAAGCTCCATTTTATCCCATACATAGTCAAAATATTGGGGGGATGATACAATGGACCATCCCCCCCCCATGTCAAATATTGGGGGGGGGGATATATCCCCCATCTCCCCGGGATCTACGCCTATGATTCTTATTGGCGCAGCTAGATTCAACATAGCAACTAAGGTGATGTGTTAAAAAATTGTAATGATTGCAGAGTCCTGATGCATGATTTGAGACTCATGGTAGAAGAAGCCCATTGTTAACCATAGAGGGAAACACAACTGAACGTTGGTTATTTTTAAATACGTCTATTGGGTTTGATCGTCACTAACATTTGTACTTCAGTTAATATGATTTAGCCAAAGAACAGTGCTCATAAAAATTCAGTTCGATTTTCCTACAAATAGTTATAAAAGACTCTTCTGTGGCGCAAAGTTTGATCTCGGTTGTTCTGATCACTGTATTTCGTCAATAGCCTTCCTTTAAAATCATAGCATTAGACCAATTTTGTACCGTCAAGTTCCGCCTCAGTGTTTTCTTCTGTTCACTGTGATTCGTCAATAGTTCTTTACATTACAGGGATAATAAAAAGTTGGTGTACCACAAGATCCGGAAAACGTTTTGTATTTTTAAAAAAATATGTCTAAACACTAACTATGTATAATGTCCTACCTATCGAGTAGTATTAACATGCACGATGAACAGTACTAAGTCTCAGGCATTCGGCGTGAGACTTTGGCGAACCGAATTGTCATTTAATCTTAAATAGATATAGGCCTATCTTAGATTTAAATAGCGATATATCTGAAACAAATGTATCTTAGTTTTAAATAGAGATATCTCTGTTGAAAGTGATATCGCTATTAAAATCTTTCTATATTAAACTAATATGATTCTCTATTAAAATAGAGACTCCTCTATTAACTGGTAATAATACCAGCGTTTATATTGCGCTTTTTCCTTTCGATTATAAAGCGCACGCCAAGAAAACACTATCAAGGCAGAATGTAGTACAGGCCCATAACTATGATATCTCTATTTACGATTAAATGACAATTCGGCTCACCATATAAGCATAAGGACTATATGCATCCCGAGATTCCTAATACTGTACAGTAATAGGTCTAATACTTAAAATATTAGCGCTCAACTTATATAGCGCTCAATTCGCCTCAAAGAAAAAAGTACGCCCACGATACGCTAGAAGATTCTAAAAAGGCTGCTTTGGAAGACATTTTCACAAACAAACAAACAAACAAAAAAAAAAAACTTTGATTCAGTGGTGAACAATGGATTGGATTTGATTGGATTTATTTGGTGTAAACACCAAGGATATCCAACGAAAGTCTAGAAGAAGACTTATTTCCAGTCGGCTCCTATATTATGAAACATAAGTGATTATTCTTTCACTAAATGAAATATATTTGATCTTCCTATAATAGTTACTATACTACTACTAATAATAATAATAATTGCAGTGTGCGATACTTACACTGCCAACATTTTGTTTATTCATAGGATTATATATGTATATGTCATATGATTGCATACGTTGACATAATAGAGACGTAAATGTTATGTCTCTATTTTGTCAACGTATGCAATCGTTTCATTTTGGAAGACCACTGAATAATCTCTTGTTTATTCCGCTGTATTCTTTGTCATAGGATTGCATACGTTGACATAATAGAGACGTAAATGTTGTCTCTATTTTGTCAACGTTGTATGCAATTGTTTCATTTTGAAAGGCCACTTATTAATCTCAGATTAATCGGCAGTGTAAGAATCGCTGATGGATAGGAAGATAATGGAGATAGTATATATGAGCATACAGGAATAAATAATATGAGGTTCAGCAGGTTTATATGCTAATTGTGTTACGTATTCTTGAGTAGGAATTTGTTTCTGTGTCTGCATTTTGAAAGCAGCGCTGTTCTTTTGTTTAAAGTTGATGGTTTAAATAAATTATGTGAAATTTCTCTGTAAGGCAGAGATTGCAGCGTTTTGTTTGTGTACTGTATGGTGTAGCTTTGTCAATTATGGACCATCTAATGTTGAATTGGGTGTTGCTTTCTTGAAGTGTCCATATATGTTTTGATAATTCGGTCGCATAAGCAAAACCATCCTTGATCGTGTTAATCGTAGCCTAATCTGATCACCAAAACCAAACTACATCAGTGGAAAAAACACCTCTGTTTAAAAGCATACAACAAAAATCCAGAAGCACATTCATGGCATTCGACATCGTGGAATTTTACCCTTCGATTACAAAAAACCTGTTAATCAACTCCACCAAACACGCACAGAAGTCTACGAGCATTACAGAAGAAGAAATAAACATAATCATGCAAGCACGTAATTCCATCCTATTTGACAGTGATTCGACATGGAAAAAGAAAGGCTCCAACGACATGTTCGACGTCACCATGGGCAGCTTCGACGGGCAGAAGTATGTGAACAGCTCTTTCATTCTGTCATCACTTGCAAAAAAGCTTGGCAAAACCAACATCGGCCTATATCGGGACGACGGCCTCGCAATCATGAAGAGCACATCACACCAAGACAGTGTGAGAAGATAAAAAAGGAAATAACATCCATCTTTCACTCTTTTGATCTTCGCATCACATACATGCAAACATCAAAATCCTCGATGTTACACTGGACCTACAACACGATACCTACCAACCGTTTATCATGGCGAATAACCAGTTATTGTACGTCGACTCACGCTCTAACCATCCTCCAACCATCTCAAATCAAATACCTACATCAATTAATCAACGAATATCTAACTCTGATTCCAAGACTACATTTCTCAAGGCTGCTCCAGACTACGAAAAAACATTAAAGGAGAGCGGCTTCCAGGACAAAATGAGTTTTAAACCATCACCTGGAAACAAGCCTAAAAAAAACGAAACATCATCTGCACTGTTAAAAATAAAGGTGCAACTAAAGGTGCAAAGATAGAAAATGGTGCACAGTTGCACCTTTTTTTTATAAAAAGGTGCAGAGAGGGTGCAGAGTTCAGATAATCGATTAAAAGGCTCATCTTTGCACCTTTTGTATATGGTGCACAGTTGCACCTTTTTTTTATAAAAAGGTGCAGAGAGGGTGCAGAGTTCAGATAATCGATTAAAAGGCTCATCTTTGCACCTTTTGTTATCGGAAAATGAAGATGGTGCAAAAATGTACCTTTTTATAGTAGAAAGGAACAAGTCCCTGTCTCTTATACACATCTAGATGTGTATAAGAGACAGATAAATATCATTTGCAAATGAAATA